TTGGGAAATAGTCCAGACAGTACAGAATTAAAAGTTTACTTCATCTAATTATCAGTGTCAAAGACAACCATGTTGTAAACAGTTTCATAATTTAGACTATTTGAATGATGGCAAGAGGGGCATGGTGGTGTGATTTCTTCCCACTGCCACCCTCGCCGGATGAAGTGTGCATCAGCAAGATAGGAACACATCTTTCCAGTGCTGTCTTTCATTGATGGCGCACTTAAAATATTAAGTATGTAGCAACCATCATAGTTATTTCATTGGTTATAATGACAGTTATCCTACACTTTGTCCTTGAGTTTTTCACATTTATAGACATCTGTAAGACCTACATCTTGTAGCTGGTAACCTCCTGGAATTATCATTCTTCACTTGAGTGTTAAGCAACTTTCATATGAAAGGACGGCTTGCTTTAGGTAGTCATATATTTGCACTGGCACAAGTTTGTGCCCTGTCACAGATGACATGTAACCACTTCTGTTGTGCAGTTGTGGTTGTGCTGAAACATGTAAAAATTGTGCGCTGCATTTTATGACATTGTCCTTGCAACTCAGCCTTTCTCTTTAAATGCTTCTGTGATTTGTAGTTATTTATTTCATTTCATGGTTGAGAATGTTACATATTTTGCAAAAGAGTTTTCCTCTGTCTTTAAATGCCTCTCTAAGAAAATATTTTTTGTCTTTTGCTGATTTATTTGCAAGATGAGACTTTTGTTGCAGCTTTTTTTTTTTTCAGAATTGTTTTTTCACAGCTGGGCTTTTTCTTCTATAGATCCCTATTACCCTCCACCCCCATCCCGATTTTTCACACTTTCTATTTGGTCACCCTAGGAGAGACCAAATTTAATGGTTCTGCAGACTTTGCCGCTAAAAAGATTTTCCTCCTATCCTGTGTCTCTTTTCACCAGAATAGAGTGGGACCAGGTCTGCACAAGAAACTTTTGCTGATGTCGCTTTGTGGTTTAGGGGTGTAAATTTTTTTGAGGGGTGTTATTTCAGTACTGGCAAAATCAGAGTGTAGCTGCAGTTTATGCTGGCAAATGTACTTTATGCCTATGTACCTTATTTTGCTTGCCAAACCAGGATAAGTGTTTTTTTGTTTGCAGGTTGGATTGACTTAAATCAAAGTGGTTTTAATCACCCAGCAGGAAACCTTGATTTAAATAATCAATTTTAATCATTTTTTGCATTTGTAATTTTTATTATTTTCCTAAAGAGAGAATGATTCTCATTAGTTGGTAACCATTAGAACATATTGATTTGCAACTAAATATAGCCTTTACACTACATTTGGTGCTCTTTTTGCTAGTCAGCATGATACGATATGCACATTTACTTCATCAGTTATATAACGTAACTTATATTCATTCAGATTCTTAATTTTTACTCTTTTATTATGTTTAGAAAATGGTGAATGATGCATTTTTTATTTATTAGATTAATTTTTTAATTGTTTTGTGTCAAGCTCTGGATGGAAATTCAAATTCAATTAAAATTCACAATTTTTTTTATTAAATAAAATGACTTTAAAAGTGCTGGATAAACTTTTTGTGTGTGTATCGAAACGTTTTGCATTTAATATGGCTTATTAAACAAAGGAGGTATTATCTGTAGTTAGTGAATTGAACTGTTTTGTTTCTGTTCATAGCGTCCTGCAAGGTTTTAGAACTAGAAGATCTCATTCTTGCATCTAGTTTTTATTCATACACTGGGAGAGAAAAATGAACTTTCCTGCTTTTTCAACTCCCAGTGGTTTCTTAACTTTGAACAGAACTAGTTGTGTAAACTGAAATGAAGAAAGCATTCTCTTTGACTCTGCAGAAGAGGCTACTGCTGTCAAAAGCTGGTTTAGGACTTCAGCAAACTTTGTTTCCGGTTGCTTAGCAAATGACTTCCATGAGTTCAGCGGTTTGATTTGCTTTAAAACTTGGCAGGAAATATTTATTGCTTAATATTAAAGTTTGTAATTAATTTAAATGATTTAAAAAGATTATAATTTTAGGCCTTACGTAGGTTGTCAATTTCAAATTTATTTTTAAGTGGGTCTATTTTAAAAAAATAAACTTGTGTTTAATTTAAAAAAATAAAATTTATTCATATTTTTTTTTAAAATCATCAATTTGTATTCACCCTCTTTCTGCTATAACCTGCATCCGTGCTAAGATGGTATGCTCGTATAACTATGTCAGTATATCTTTTCTAGTGTAGATATTTAGAACCAAGTCTGACCAAAACAGTTACAGGTGTGTTCGATCTTTACAATGCTAGACTAGCCCAAGAACTGAATATCTTTCTCAATGGAAATATGAATCCCACCCAGTCTACCTTGGAGTAATCCTAGATCTCTCTCTCTCTCGATAGGTAGGTAGCTATATTTCCATATCTATATCTATCTCATAGAACTGGAAGGGACCCCGAAAGATCATCAAGTCCAACCCCCTGCCTTCACTAGCAGGACCAAGTACTGATTTTTGCCCCAGTTCCCTAAATGGCCCCCTCAAGGATTGAACTCTCAACCCTGGGTTTAGCAGGCCAAATGCTACAAACCACTGAGCTACTCCTCCCCCCCCTCCCCCCCTCCCCCCCCCCGGTCTAAACCACGTGAGGACAACTGTGGCTAAGGTGAGGTTGCGTAACAGCCGTCTAAGCGAATTGGCTGGCATTTCATGGGGAGCAAATGCACAAACTCTCTGATCATCTGCTTTAGCCCTCTGTATGTCTGCAGCAGAATACTGCTCCTGTCTAGCTCCATTCATCTCATGTCAAGTTGGTTGATGCACAGCTATATTCAACTGTGCGCATTGTAACTGTCATGATTCGACTCATACCAGTACCATGGCTCCCTGTGTTAAGCAACATCACTCTTCCGAGCACCTGTGATAAGTATGCTACAGCCAGAATGGTTGAGAAGATCAGGGCAATCCTGGTCCTACCACTATACGCAGACTTCTTTAACCACCCAAGAGTGCACTTGTCATCGATGCACCTGTTGTGGGCCCACTTGCCCTGCCCAGATTTCTCTGTGATGTCAGTGTGGTATGAAGAATGATCTTCAGCTGATGTCAGAAACCAATCTCTTATAACTGGCCTGACCACATGTATACCTAGCTTTGGTTTGCCAAACTGTTCATGGGCACTTCTGAACCGATTTTGAACGAGCCAGGGACAATGTGCAGCCAGCCGTCACGCTTGGGGCTGGCCAGCAGGAAGATCCCAGGTGAGCTGTGGACAAAGACCGAGTATGTTTCACATCACTGACTGCCCTCTTACCAATTTGATGGTGATCTGAGGGTTCTGCACTTCGCTGCTGCGGCAAATTGGCTTGGCAAGCTCCGCATCCAATAAGATGAAATGTAGACATGGTTTAAGTGGAAGCCTCTGTCCATTTTTCCCTGTCCTAATCCTTGTCTTCAGCCGGTTATCAACTCCTCTCCAATCACTCCTGTGTAGGTTGGTGCTGATTCCCTCAGAACCAAGGATTCAGATTGAGAGTTCACAGGATTGTAGAAATGAAGGAAGTGCCATACTGACAGATTAGTGGACCATCTAGCCCAGTATCCTCTCCAGTCGTGGCTAATACCAGTTACTTCATCTAGAGGTGCTGGGGGATTCCTGTTACAGAAGAACCTACACACAGGGAAAGTTTCGTCCCTGATCTCAGGGCTGGGTTATATCCTGAAATTTGAGGGCTTATATCCTTTTACTTTTCGTCTTATTTAATGAAAACATTGTTCTTTTTGTGCGTGACTTTTCGTTGTAATTTCAGCATTTTCACAATAAGATGCAGTAGGATTTTTAAAATGCCATTTAAGAGCTCCAAAGTAGTTGTGATATCTAGAAACTCCGCATGTGAAATTCGGTTAAGAGCAAATTTCATATATATATAAAACCTTTTCAATAAAACTATAAGCAGGCATCCTCCCATTCAGTGCTTTTGCTATCTTGCTTACCCACAGCTTGGGGCCAGTTAACCTCACTTGTGCTTGGAACACTACAGCTTCCTCTTCTTTCCTCTCTTCATGCCATTGCTACTAGGTGCCATCTGAGGATGGGCTCTGAAGAGAAGGAGCTTATATTGCTGACACTGAAACTCTCTCTCTTTGCTTGGCCAACTAGTCTAGTCGCTTCCCTCATCTAGAACTGTAGGGTGTTTTTTTGTTTTTTGGCAAACATAGTGTTCATCAAGAGCTGTGTGGATAACCATGGAAACTGAATTCTCTTGTCCACAGAATAGGTACAATGTGGGCAACAGCAATTTAAACATTTCTATCTTCTCTGACAGTTTTTTTCTGCCCACATCTGGAAAGACCACTTGAGAGTTAAAGGATTAGTGTGTCTGCCCATTTTGTCCTTGGCAACTCTATCAACAGTCAACCAGCGAGCAATTAATGCATCTCAGTATCACAGAGTTTTACCTGTTATGACTTAAACATTTTACTACTCAAGTATAACAAAGCTATAGAGAGGTTTCTTAATCTTAAATATGCGTTGCTTCTGTTTCTAAGGAAAAATACTGCCATAGTTATTTTAACACTTTGACTATCATCTGGTATTTCAAGAAAATTATGGGAAAATAAGCATAGTAACTTTGCTGAAAATGTTTTCTTTTCTGTATTGGCTGTACTATTTTTAAATAATTTGAATCCAGACTATGACTAGTTTGTACTACAGAGGTGTGCACTGGCGTGTGTGTGTGTGTGTGTGTGTGTGTGTGTGTATATATATATATAATGTGTGTAGTATATATATACATACACACACACACACTACGTTGTCGTGTAACAGAGTACATGTGGGGTCTGGACATTTAACAAGAAGAATATGTACCTTGTTGCATGCTTTGTAATTGTTAATGTTCTCAGGAGATAACAAAAAAAAACTACTATCAGAAATTGTATTTAAGAGTATTCAGGACTGCATAAGCGAGTTTTTTTTTTTTTTTTTCCCCCCCCCCCCCCATAGAAAAATATTTGTTTTTTTTTTTTTTTTTTAAACTAGGTCCCTTCACAGATGTAGTCACTACAAATCTTAAACTACGAAACCCATCAGATAGAAAAGTATGCTTCAAAGTGAAGACCACAGCGCCTCGTCGATACTGTGTGCGGCCAAACAGTGGAATTATTGACCCAGGATCATCTGTAACTGTTTCAGGTAAAAACAAGTTTGTTGTGCGGCTTTATAGTTCTGATTCTCTTGTTGCAAGATACTACACAAAACACTTTGCCACCTGTCCCTTACAGAAACTATTGCATAACATCATTAACTGTTTTTTTTTTTTAAAGGGTTGTTGATAATTGTTAGTACAGTCTCTTCAGTATCGTTAAGCTTGCAGGTGCCACCACAACAACTTGTACACCAAAAGTTAATATATGAAAATTAAAATCCTAGATACTGAAATATTTAGCTGTCTTTTACAAACTATTATGTTTCTGACTTAATTTGGACAAGTTAACACATTCAAATTACCCTTTCTGCATTGGCTTTAAAAAAAAATGTGGTTCAAGATCAGATTATACAGTAAGAAAGGAAATGGGAAGGTGGGATAGTGAGGAAAAGATATGATGGGGGATACTGAATTACAATTATAATCTGTTATATTCACTCATGATGAGTGTACGGAAGCTAGAGGGGAAGGTGGAAAGGATCAGAGAAAAATTAATGATGCCCTTGCCCAAGAGAGGCATATTTTTGTTTATAATGCACCCTCAGCTTGTAGTGGGACATCACTTTATGGCTGTGAAGTAATTACACTGTATATGATATCTAATATAGTTAATGACGCTTTAAAAATTAGATGAAAACTTAGTTGAATGGATCATATAGTACATTCCATATTTAAAATGATTAAGTGGACCATATAATTAGCTCAATCACAGCATCACAAATCCACTATTCAATACCTATCTTTTCCAGATTATTTAGGTAGCCTAATGCTTTCCATTTATAAAAGGTTCTTAGTCTTTTTAAAGAAGCTCTGACATGTCCATAGTTTGCAGCAGGCCTTTGAAATTCAGCAGAGGGAGCCCTGGGGACTGACGGTGCCTTTTCTTTCTCCCATGAAAATTTGTTTGGTTTGTCTTGGACAGGTTTTTTATTTTTTTTATTTTTATTTTTGCTGTTGTTGTTTGAAAAATTACCATTGCCTTTCTGCCACTTGTGTTGGCAGCAAAATGTTGGCAGCCTGCCAAAATAACTGGACATATGTATTTTAATCTAAGACTGGGCCCATTGTACTGCGAAAGCAGCAGCACACTGTACTGAGAATACTGGGTGCAGGCTGCCTCTCCCGGGTCTGGGGAAAGGGCTGTACTCTCCCATGAGTGAGCAAATGGCTCTGGTAGCTCATCCCACTGCCCTATGGGGAGGGCCACATGGGGAAGGAGCTCCCCCACCTCCCACGAGCGAAGGAAAGAAGAGCCAGGTTGCCTCCTGACCACTTCCATGGACCCACCTTATGGATCCAGCTTATCATTCTTTCCCCCTCTCCTAGACTGCCTTGGGTATTTGGAAGGGGTAGGGAAGTAATCCTTTGCCTAGAGCACCACCTAGCAAAGGATTACTTCCCTACCCCTTTGCGAGGTGGTGCTCTAGGCTCAGGCAGAGTCATTCAGGCTCCTGTCTTGCTCTCCTTGGGGCTTCCACAATGTAGCAGGGAAGCTGCCAATGGAACAACCAGAGCTGCTGTTTTTCTTCCTTCTTGTGGTGTGGCAGGAGCCAGTGGATGAGCTGCTGAGAAGCAGCAACAGAGATGTGGGGAGCAGATGCTCAAAGCACTCCTGATTCACATTGATACTTATCTTGAGAAGTGGCTGAAGGAGACTGGGAAGGCCGATTGAAACAATTCTGTTTAAAAGTTGCCGGGCACAGTTCATGGAGCAAATTTTTGATTTATAGTCAAATACAAATTTTCTTCTTAACAGTTGCCGTTGAAGAGAACAAGTTTGGCCACTGTTATGCAGGAGGTAGATCACAGTCCAAAGAGTTTCTACAGTGATTCCTACATCTAGACCAACAATTTCTGGTTGAGCTAGAACATTTCACTGAGAGACACCTTGAATTAAAGAGACTCTAGGTACATCTACTTTGCAAAAAAACCCCAAAACCCCGGATCAGGAGTCTGAGAGCCCGGGTCAATTGACTGGGCTCATACTACAGGACTAAAAATAGCAGTGTAGATATTTCCAGCCTGAATGGGAACATCTACACTGCTACTTTTTAGTCCCATAGCATGAACCCAAGTCAGTTGACCCAGGCTCTGAAACTTACTGCTGCAGGTTTCTTTGTTTTTTTTGCAGTTTAGACATATCTGCTAAGAGTAATGGAGAACTTATCTTGTTTCCAGCAGAACTTTGCTAACTTCACCTTTCAGCCATTGTATCTCATTATGCCTTTGTCTGCTAGGTTAGAGTCCTCTAGTATCAGATATCTTTTCCTTGGGTAGTCAGTTTATAGATTTGTGATCAAGATTCCACTTGACCTTTTCTGTAGTAAATTAGGTTGAGCTCCTTTAGAATCTCATAGTAAGGTGCCTTTTCCAGGCACAAGTCATCCTTCTAATTCTTCTCCAAACCTCTCAAATTTTTCAACATTCTTTTTGAAGTGTAAACACCAGTACTGGACAGTATTCCAGCAGTTGTTTCGCCAGTGCCAAACAGAGGTAATATCACACTTTACTCCTGCTTGATTCCCCCAGTTAATACAGTCAGGTATTTTAATAGCCCTCTTTGCCACAGAATCACACTGGAGGATCATGTATAGCTAGTTATATACAGTGACCCGTAAGTACTTTTCAGAGTTGCTGCTTTCCAGAATCCAGGTTCTGTAAGTATCGTTTGCGTTCTTGTCCCTAGATGTATTGTCTAGCATTTGTCTATGTTAAAAAGCAGATCACACACCATGTTTCCAAATGACCCAGATCATTCTTTATCAATGACCATACCTTGTTATTTGCCACATCGCCAGTCTTTATCATCTGCAAATGTTATCAATAGTGAATTCATATTTTCTATCTAATCAATAGTGGTGGGCTGAGAGCGCTTATTTCAGGAGCTCATTAGAAAAGCCCAACTGGTTAATACGTCTCAAGTTTAAATGGGGAGTTATCGTTACTTTTAATCCATTTAACATGTGCCATATTGATTTTTGAATTGTGCTAGTTTTTAAATCAGAATGTCATGCAGTATTGAGGACAAAGAAATCCAAATGTGTATATTGTGTTATATGTATTGTATGTTACATCAACACAGTTACCTTTCTCAGCTATGCTTGTAATCTTGTCAAAGGAAAGGTATGTTCATTTGACAAGACTTATTTTCCATTAAACCGTATTGACTAGTATATTTTTGTCCTTTAACTCTACTGATAGTATGGCACATCATTCCATTGTTTTGCCCAGGCTTTGTTATGCTAATTGGCTTATAATTACCTAGGTCATCGAATTACTTTTATAAGAATATTGACACATTGGTTTACCCACTCTTCCAAGACATAAATGGTCCAGAAAGTTCTTTGGACAACTCTGTGGATTTTGAGGTATTAATAGAGCTTTGTTTTGGAGTAGGCAAAGACCCCAGTGGGTCAGGTTCTCAACTCTGAACTTGTTAGAGCTTTTTACCTTAAAGTCTCAACTGTTTTTCTGGAGTTCTCCTTGGAGAATTAGATATCATCCACTCTGGTAATACCAGGCCTCAATTGAAGGGGCCAGGCATGTGTTAAAGCTTGAAAGAGAGCCTTGCACCCCACTCTGTCAGAAATTTTTATTTAAATAGGATTAAGAAAAACCCAAATATTTTAAACAGTCTGAACAAAAATTTCTTTACTTCTCAGTTGCTCTAATTTCAGTTGCTTATCATTATTCTAATCCTGTTAGGTTTTCAGTCATTCATGGAAAAACAGGGTGGTGAAAACTTTATTTTTCTTTATTAGAAACAAGAAATGTCATCCTCCTTTTTTGGGTGATAGGAAAATGGGAAACAGTCATTCAGACTTTTGTGAGCCAAAGATTTCTTTTTTTAAATGTTATGCAAGCACATCTGTTTTTTTCCCCCCGTTTACAAGACATTGGTGACATAGCCAATGCCAGAGAGCATCTGGATAGTGCGGATCCTCTTCTTACATACATACATACATACATACATACATTTTTTTTTTTAAATCAGCATTTTGATTCTAGGTATGGAACATGGTAGAACTTACAGGTAACCAGCGTCAAAGGAGAATGGGCCAGTACCTACTTGTCTGTCATTGTACTGTCCTCTCCAGAGAGGAAGGGGAAAGCTGGCCCAACTAGCACCTGTCTTCAGAAAACTCTTTGGAGTAGATATTGATTGTAACTACCATTGTTTATATTTGGGGTCTGTTGTCTTCACTTAAATCACAATATGTGTTTTTCTTCAAGTGATTGCTCCTGTGTATTCCACAGTAGGAGTGCATGCTCGCCACGTGCACCGGTGCCGGGAGTTTTTCCCTTAGCAGTACCCGTAGGAGGGGAACACTGCTGCGACCCCTGGAGTGGCGCCTCTATATCACGCTATAAGGGGAGCTGCGCACTCTTCCCTCCCCCCCCCCGTTCCTTTTTGCCGCTAGTGAAGGTAGTTGGAACTTTGTGCTCCATCCTTGCTGTAGACCTTCTAGTAGCCTTAGTAGTACTCATCTTCTCCATAGTTGGATAACTTCTTTAGTTAGTTGTCTGGTGCGGGACATGTCCTGTGCCCTAGGCTTCAAGTCGTGCGACTCCTGTCCCAGTTCTATGCCAAGAAGCGACTGGCACACTCAGTGTCTTCGCTGCTTGGGTGAGACTCACGTAACCGATCACTGTAAGATCTGTAGGTCGTTCAAGCCTCGAATGAAATGTGTGAGAGAGATCCGGCTCTGGGCCCTGCTAATGGAATCTGCGTTGGCCCCCGGCACCGGCGCACTGATCAGACTCGGCACCTGGTACCACGTCCTCGGTGCGGAGTGAGGCGCCCTCCACCAATCAGCACTGCTCACCCGCTAAGAAGCAAGGGAAGACTCAGCGGCGCCGACAAAAGGACGGGGTGAGGCCGGACCTGAGTTGGGCAGCCCATGATCCCCCTTGAGACCCAGAGCTCCGACTCGCGCAGAGCGGAGTAGCCCGGTCCCATCCGCGCGTGCCTCTCCCACGGTGAGAA